TTCAAATGCAGTTTCAAGAGTTCAGTTGGATGAGACAGCTTTTCATGGATTCTCTGCAATGCTAACGGCAATGTTACAGAAACCTTAGGCGCCTTCTTCTCTCGATGAAATGTTGTTGGTATTGGTTTCACGTCTTCCCTTGATTCTTCCTGAGGATCTGGCTTCACCGGCATGTCTGGTGCTGCTGGAGGTACGTCAGGCTTATCGGCTCCTGAGCTCGAACTTGGAATCTTCGAATGCTCAAATGGCGTACCAAAATCAGGTGACTTTTCTGTCTTCCGGTATGTCGGAGGTGTCACCTTCTTGGCCGGTGGAGGCATCGAAATAAGCTTCGATGGCGGATCGACTTTGGCATCTCCACTTGCGATGTGCTTCTCTGGTTTCTTAGCCGGAATATCGGCTGCTGACTTGTCTTCCTTCACTTCGGATGTCTCTGCCTTCTTGCATCCATCTTTATATCTGTGCCTACGATGCTTTCCATTGCAGGCAGGACAAGTTGCATACGAAGGATTGATTGCAGTGAAACTGTGGTTCGGCTTACGAACTGAGCTGGCAAACATCATGATGTCTAAGACATTATGGTTCGAAGTGCTCACTGGCAGCGAAAATCGCTTCAGACCGAACAAAGGACAAGTCAAATAATCGCCGACTGGAGTATGCTCAATAGACATGCGAAGGTTCCTGAGCTGCTCAACGCTGAAAAGGATTGGAACATCGCCTTGGTCTAAGATATCTATCGCAGTTGTGATCCACCCTGTGGGTGACTGGTCGTTCTGAAAGTAGATTACCAGCTTCTCTCGGACATTGGATTGTTCACCATTCGCAAATGAAAATCGACTTGACGAAGGCTCAAAAGAGAAATCAACCTTAGATGCATTGTGGTGTCTCTTACATGCCTTCACTAGACGCATAATGGCGGTCCTTGAACCCATTGCTCTGGTACAGCCGCTGTCAATGATCACGTAAGTCGGACTGTACCTCAAGTCGATGTATTCAGAAAGTAAAGCATGGTGAAATCCATCGTCAAAGTTGACAAAAGAAGAACAGAAGCGTGGATCAATCACTTCAGAACAACCGGAATGTCGGTAGTCTGTACTGCTACCGGCAGGGTTTAGGTGATACTGATGTGAAACATGTTCTTCACCAGTCATTTCTCCTGCATGGTTTCCGTAATACCGGAAGTCGACTGGTTCATTTGGCCAGGCCTTGGCTCTGAGCTACAGTGCTCTTCATCTTGCGGTCTGTCCGTCTGTCCGTCCGCAAAGTATGTCAGACATCTTCAGGATAGTACTGGTCTGTGTGATATCCATACGAGTCCCATGACCAGTTTGCTTCATGTGCACTCCAGGTTTCTTCGGCATTAGGAGTTGGCTGAGCTGATGAAGGCTCTTCGGTGGTTGCAACATTGGATTGTTGAAAGGGATTCTGTTGCTTGCTTTTTCCCTTGCCTTTGAACGCATCTTTTCCTTTGAATCCTTTCTTTCCACCTTTCTTTCCTTTCTTGCCTTTTCCATAGAAACCTGAGTTGTCAGGGTACTCTGCATAATGCGCCCCTGCACCTTTGCCTCTACGGCTGACAAAGCCGGGTCTTCTACCTTTTCCGCGGCCTTTTCCCTTGCCGCCTTTGGATGGTTTTCTGAATCTTCTTCCATGGATTCTTCTACGGGTGTATCCTCCTTTAGCTGCTAACACCCAAAATTCGGATTCTGAGAACAAACTCACAAATCCTTCTTCGCCTGTTTCCTGATCCATCACCCAGTATCCGGATTCTTCCTCCAAGTCTCCTTCATCGAGAACAAGGAAAGTGGATCTTCTCTGCCTGCGGATCGAAGGATCGGCAGTTAATGGGCGGTTCCGCAAAAGAGATCAAGGAATAAGCCTTTGACACCTAAGTATGTGTAGTTGTTCATGTTGATCTGACGCAAGGCCATGCTGGCTACAAACCTTTCTCTTTGCTGTTCGTTGAGATCCGACTGAACTAAGAAAATAAGTGACCTCAAGTTGTCAGACAGTGGAAAGGTGTCACGATGTGCTTGGTTCAAAGCATCAATGTGTTCAGAACGGATTCTTTCTGCAGGATCTTGAAGTCCTTGAAGTAGCATGTACTGCTGTTGCGAGAGGATATCAGTAAAGTTGAAATCATCAGGCTGTGGAACAGTTGAAAGATCTAACAAGCCCATGAAGGCTTCCATGACTTTCTTACTAGCAACTTCAAAACGAGCGATCCAGCTGACAAATTCCCCGTTTCCGCGCCAGGTCCTGAAGAGCTGCATGAAACGCCAAAGAAAAACATGATTTGCTCCCTTGACAAAGTATGGGCGCAACGCCTCCTTGAAATACGTAATACCGTTTCTTTCATGACGAAGCTGCTCATTGTCGAGCATCTTTTTGTAGTATTCGGCGTTTCCGGTTAGAGCGTTCTTCAATGATGGGCCTAATTTTTCGGCGCTTAATGTGGTGATGTTCACCCAGTCATCAATCAAATCTTCAAACTCGAACCAGGATGACTGTCCATCAAATGACGGAGGAATTTTTGGCGTCATCTTGACACCTGCTGATGGCTGTGCCTCGTACGTCCGGTATGTCGAACTTGAGGACCTTGCTTGCTGATGGCGATGACGCGTGCCTTGAGCGGCGAAAGCTTCTTCTGGATCAGTTGCTTCCGACAGGCTGTCGTCATGCTCTTCATCCGTATCTATGCTAAAAAAAAGGACCATGGTCTATTTGTTTTCAGACAGGTGACCTACTTGCTTGTCCCCTGCCCAGAATATTGGACGATTCGGCACGAAGGCAAAATCGACCGTTGCGAAGCAGGAGACACAAGCTCCGCTACCACTTTGAGGGGTAAGTTCCCCCAGAAGTGGCAGTTGCTTAACTCGACCTGATCGAAACACCAGGTGAAGTCACACGAATGCGATCGGTGTGCGAGCGGCAGCGATGCACACCTTTTCTATGGCTGCGGATGCAGGTATTGGGCTGCTAAGTCTTGAGCCAAATGAATTAGGTCGAAAGCGGACTGAAGAGCTACAAACTAGTCTATACAAGATAACAGGTGCTACACACGTATAGCGTAGACACGCCTAGGGGACCTAGGACCCTACCAAACACAGGGGGGGGTCCATAAGATTGATTTAATCAATTATTTGAGGTTTCTGAGGTGCGTCCACCCCGTCACTTAACTTGCTATTTTAAAGCAAGAGCAACTCCAGCTAGCTAAGGCTAGCTTTCGTGATGAATATACGCTCCCTGAGATCATCATGGGTTAGTGGAGTTCACAAACTGTTTCGTCTTCGGATTTCATGGTCATCCGAACATGGGGCCGTTTTCCATCCACTTCACTCAGGGAGTGTGTGCATTCTAAAATCACTTAAGCCAGCTCCAGTTCCAATGATTGGGGCTCAAACCAGCTGTGGATCGCCCTCTTCCTTTCGATCATCACCTGGCAACTTAGGGCGCCGACATGGAAGTAATGAAGCCTGGCAGAGTTGGATGCTTCAGAACATAACTCGCACGCCCTTACACGGGACGGGGAAGGCAATCATCAAGTCATCAAGAAGCAGCAAAAGTCTGTGGTTGCCTCCCAAGTGGGACTGGTTCAAAGCCAGTTGGGCGACCCTGGGTGGGTTTTTAGGGGTTGGAGATGGTTGCAGGGAGCTGCCAGCTTGTACAGATCTTGCCCACCGGATGTTGAAGGTACAAAGTGCAACGCCCTTGCAGGCACCACTGCGCAACTATAAGGCTATGTAGTGCTATATACATATATCAGAACCACAAGGCATCCAGGTCAGCTTTTGAGGTTCGAGGAGAGCTACGGCGAAGTCAGAAGTGTGATTCTTCGCACGTGTGTTTCAGACACTTCGAGCAAAGCATCGCCACAAACCTCACAGATTCACAGTTCTCACGCGGCCCCTCGCACGCATTGGCCAGCCATGCGCGCACGGTCGCTGGGTCCATACATTGAAGGCCACGCGTTGCATGGATTGCTCCAATAGCAGAGAATACTTCAATCTCTCGATTCAGCGGCCAAGAGCGGCTACCTGGGTCCGAAGCTTGCCAAATTTGCCTCAATTTTACTCGACAGATAGACGTTTCCAGACGCCGGCCACTGGGGTGCCTGATGAGTCGTCAAAGAATCACTTCCTCAAGCCACACACATAACATAACAGTTGATCAAAAAGCATCGCATGCCCAAACACTCTCAGTTGAGTAGATGTATGTGACTTTATATACTTACATTGACCCTCCAAACATCTTACAACCATTCATCCATGTATGCAAATATATCCGTCACCGTCGCATGGTTTGTTTGGGTATGTGGATGCTGGAGCTGATGGGGTTTTGCTGATTCACTGATTTTGGATTGACGCTAGAGGCCTCAGATCCTTCCGCAGTGCCTGGGTGGAGGGAGACGCCTTAACCTGACGCCTAAAGCATGGAAGGGTGGTGCAAAGACCCTACAAGTGCTGCAAGATATTGCAAAAGTGGTGAAACTTCGCACACCTGCATGCCCCAGCCAAAGAGATATAGATCCATCATCCATGTCTCCACCCTTTCAGGGTTGAGTTCAGTTTTAGTTCGAGTTCGAGTTCGAGTTTGAGTTCGAGCGGGGCACACTATGGTCTGTTTAGAAACACGAAAGAATCCGCGGCGAATCCCATCGAAGCGGCGCATCCTGGTTCCAGCGCCCCCAATTCTCCCGGTTCCGGGTACCGGCAGCATCTCGGCGGCGGCACATCCAACCGCTGCCAGCCTGGGTGATGTGCGAGTTTCATGGTGAAACACGAAGAAGTACATGGAGAACGAAGAATCCTCTTTTTGTTTTGTTTTACGTTTTTTTTGTCTTTTCATGGTGGTGAAACACGGGTTGTTAAGTGACAAAAACTCAGGTGAAAAACTAGATATATATACAGAACAATCGATGATGTATAGTTAATTATGGAACATCGTCTAATATGGATGGATGGGTTTGATTTTTAGATATCTTTCTTGGGTCCAACATAGGTAAACAGATTTCAGTCCCATGGATGGTCGGGGTATGATGATGTATGAAGCAGAATCTTAAAGGTCCCTATTGATCAAGGTGTGTAGAATCGACCTACTGTTCTAAGGGCTTGCACCTCGACGGTGAATGTCCGAAGTTTGCGGATCTTCTTAAGACCCCAGGGACCCTGACAATCCATGTACGGAAGATTTACATTCAGGCGTAAAACATCTTCAAAATCCTAATGGATCCGCCCCAGCTCGCTCGATTCTTCGGGGAACCTTTCCCCCCCCCCCAGCTCGCTGAACCCGTCCATTCCAAATTTGACCGACCTCCCAACCTGGAACGCCCGAAGCAGAAGCCCCTCCACCCAAACAGCGACATTTTCCTCCACGCTGAGGGCGGAGTGAGCAGGCCTGGGAGTTGCCAAGTCTGGCACCAGCATCCCACTACACTTGGTGGGCTGTTTGTTGGGCTTGTGAAACGAGAAACGAGAAGGTGCACCTACCCAGAGCTTGTGCGTCGTCCAAAGAGACCTACCCTTCCTTAAGCGTTTTCCCGCAAGGCCACTTACGCAAGCACTGAACCCGAGAACACTCGATCAGATCATGAATGCTGTTCATGGAGGTTTGGGTTGCTGCTCGTATGAAATTGGGTCCCCATGTTTGATGGGACGTTTGGTCTCTAATTTGGCTTGCGTGGACTGATTCCCTCTTAGGGGCGATGTCTTAACATGTACTTAGTCTGATCCTCCTTGGTCAAAGAGCTTACACAATTCTAGTCATTTTAAGTTGCACTTTTGTCCTTCTCTGTTGATGTTTGCAAAGGATTCGGGTGTGGAAGGTGGTGGAAGGTATCCTTGGTGGTGAACACATGTCAATGTCAATGTATTCTTTTCTGCTAGTCTTGGTGACGTCCACCACAACATGTCTGCTGTATCTTCATGATACCTTACTGGCAATGCTGTGTTTTTCTTTTGCAACCTCACAAAAAGAACTCTAGCAAGACCTCTTCTCTGGCCATACCTCGATCCCTAACAAACGCAAATAATCAGTCTGAATCAACCTCCGATAACTCTAGTGTCACCCATCTAGATCAACACTTCGCCCCAAAACCACTTGCGGCAGCACCAAGGCCCTGGCCCCTTCCTTAATTTCGTAATGAGCTAAACACACTATAACAATACTATAACAATACGATATAGGTAACCAGCTACTATCGTTCGCGCGATTCATTTGGTTCCGGATTTCTGGCCCCACCTGGCATCAGGGCAGCGGATGTGGTGCCGTGGGCGCCCAGTTGCGCAAGGGATCTGGTGCCAAGGCCAACCTGACTCATCGGCCGCAGTCGGACGTGTGGAAGGACCACGTGCGAACGGTGAACGGATGCGAAACAGGTGGATGAAACGGATGCTTGGCGTGTGCGTATGGTTTGTAGATGTTTGATGATGTTTGTAGCATGTGTGGAAGGAGACAGTTGCAAAGTCACACTGACTCACATGGCCTTGCTCAAAAGAACAGGCTTTCTTGGAGCAAGCCACTTGTTTGAGCCACTGAGGTTTCAGGCCAGAAAGGCTGGCCACTGATCACGATCTCTTCTTGAGCTGGGTCACAAGATCGGGCAGTTTGGGTGACGTATGTTATCTAACCTTCACAGCTACAGTAAATCTCAGAATGATTCCCAATCCCTCTGCTAGAAGGGAGACTGACATACAATGTTTGACGGGCTCCTCCCGTTTTGGAAACGAACCCGCAGCACGGCTGTAGGACATGCTTGGACAAATTTGCTGAAACTGTTTGAATAAGTAAGTAGTTTTGAGAAAGCCATGGACCCACCGCCAAATGCTGTATGCGATTCGATGTGAACACATGAAGAAAGAATTGTGAAACCATTTCGACCCCCTGGAAGAAGGACAATAGACCAGCCTACTGCCCAGCCAGGGCCAGTGTGTCACCCTATTTAAAAAACAAATATAATATATATATATATATATTCCTCTTGAGAAACACCAGAGACCTCAACATCCATCACCGCCAGGCCGCTGGTAACGCTTGGGTAGCTTCACCGCTTGAACCGCCTGCTCTGCCGCCACCTTATTCGAAATCGCAGGGCATCCAGCCCGCCCGGTTCGCTTCGGTGGCCGACGAGGGAAGAGGGACGACCCTGAGGGACACGCCACGCGAAGGAACGGAGTCATGGCGCACTTGGTACTGCTGATAGAACAGAAGTGCGCCATTCAGTATGCTGTGTGGAAAATCTCAGGCGTATCAGTGCGCGACAAAGGCAGGATACTGGAAGCAACCGCCAAGGAGGTCCCGGATTGAAAAGCTCAGGAGATGTCCAGGATTTGATCGCCTTTTTGTGTTCATGCTTAAATTGTCTGCTCAATATCTCTGGACTGTGGCATTTCAGATTACTATCTATATCTGCTTTTGAAGGATCCAACCTCTGGAGAACCTGCTCAGCCAAGCTGGATGCACCACCTGGACACACCAAACATCACCAAACTCAACCCACAGGCAGTTACAATGGCACATCTTTGGTGGGTGGCTACTTCTGGGTGTTCCCAGATGTCTTCCAGCGGCTCATCTTCCATCTTCCCACTTCATCCTCTTATCCGTCCCATCAGCCGTCCGCCTGAGCATGCTCCATGAAGCCTGCCGTGCGCGTCGTCGGGTGTTAAGGGGTGAGTCGTCGGAGAACTGGGCCGGCTTCCGTGGACCAAGTCGTCGTCTACCCAATGTCTCCTTCTCCTGAGAAGTTTGACGGCATGAAATGAGAGTCATACAGTCATACAAGTAGCACTACGACACTCGATGAATCTCTAATCATGATGATGATGTTGGAACATGTTGGGTCCAGGGGAGATCCCAAAAAAAACACTTGGCACCGACACCCTCTGGGCAACGCGGAAGAAAAAATCAACAGAACGGCCCTCGGCTCAATGGGGAACACGTCCTAAAGGCTCCAACCATATCCGCAGGTGGATAGACCCCCTGGCACCTACCCCAACCTTCCAAACGGAGGTGGGCCAGGAACCCTAGGGCATGTTCCAATTCTGGGAACGACGCAATCCATTCGCGAGTCTTTATTCTGGATCTCATGAAACTGACTTGAGGATCTCATGAAGCCACGAAGGTAAGGGAAGCTGAGTTAGTTAGAGAGGCAACAGAAGCCGCACCGCACCACTTGAGAAGTATCATCCCAATAACTCGAATCCCACCAAGGAGTAACAGGACTACTAAACATGCTATGGGCACTTCCTGTGGTTCTCGGGGCGGATGTCAACACTTCTGTGTCTGTGAGTTTATGTTGAATCCAACAACCACCAAGAATCCCGCGGTGAACCGCGACCGTCCAAGCCTCCTAAGCTCAGCATCCCCAGAGGCTCTGGGAGGGCGGTGGAATCTCGGTCCAAAAAGCACCCGCTGCCAGGGTTCTCCGCCATGCACCAACACATAGACCACCATGGTTCTCGTGTAAACCACACCCGCGGGAAGTCGTTTCACCACCACCGCGGGTTTCGTCGTTGTCCAGGCCGACCGGTTCGGCCTTCGTCTTCGCTCTTTTTGAGGCTGGCCCTGGCAGCATCCAAATGTTCTTGGGAGGTGAGCTCCTGTGCGGGCGCAACCACGCACCCCGGCGGTCCCGTCACCTGAACTCCATGTGACATGCCTGTGCACAGGAGCTCGTGCACGTCACGTCTCTGTAATCAAGTGTTTGTGTCCAGGCGGTCGTCCTCAGGTCAATATGATGATCAATATGATGATAAACGAAGGACTGCTTGATAGAGATCTGTTCTGCAAGTCAGGCACGTCAATTGATCCAATCGTGTGCCATGCTCATTTCCGCTTCCACTTCTAGACTTGGATCCGTGTTTGAGGGTACAACTCCCAAATGGATCCAAATGGTGGCTACTCCACTCCTCTCCACCTCTCCACTCCCTCCACCGGTTCTCCTCCGCCTCTGCGCGCCGTTGCAGCGCTTGGGCGGAGCGCTCGACGATCGCCGCGCGCGAGGCGTCGCCCCGGTGACGGAGCACCGAGGCCTGCGGAGGCTGGTGCACTCCGACGAAAACATGACATGAGGATACATGAGGGTTCTTTTCCCCTGCTTCTTGCTGCTAGTAGCGATGCACCGAGCATTACTACTATAGTAGCAAATAGCCACGTTCGTCGCTTCTTGTTCCTAGTAGTAATGCCCTTGTTACTAGTAGCAAAGCACTTGTTACTAGTAGCGATGCACCTTGCTACTAGTAGCTTCTTGCTGGACACTCCACTACCCCTGTTTGTAAAGGAAAGAAGTCTTCCTTTCGGGGCTCCATCCACTTCCATGTGCTGTGCTCGTCAGAGTTTGGGGATCTTCATCCCGGTTTCATTCGCGCCCCAATCGTCCCCAAAAGAAGTAGAACAAACACAGTGTTGTGCATAAGAGATGTACCCAAGCCAGACCGGGTGAACCAAGCAAGTGAACCAAGCATCTCCGGACATTCGAGGAAGACGGAGCGAGCAAGCATGACCATCAGATCTTTCATGGACCATCTGTCATCTACAGTATCCCATAGACTCCATGTATGGAATATATGCCTACATTGACCCCCCAAACCACCTCAATGTAGGCATATATGGCCCTATATGGCACACATGGAGCATCTGGGTATGTCATATGTTTTAGTTCCAACGACCCCGATGCACCTTCTGAACATCTGTCACCAGGGAAATCCTTCCCTCCCAGCGCCACACCGCTGCTGCTCCCATCCACGCCACTCCACGCTGGTCGGTCAGCGCCTGTGTGCTCAACCTCTCAGCCTCGCGCTGCAGGCGTTGCGCCTCCTCACTGCTCCGGAGCGCCGCCTGGAAGAGCGTGCCACGTGGCCCGGAACGGTCGAACGACGCTCAAAGCGAAGAGTCCAACATCGGGAAACCAGCGGCTGGATGAAGATGAAGGGATTCCGATGTTCCCGTTGGATTCCAAGTTCCTCCGGTGGGAAACAACCCCGCGGCTCCTTCGGACCTCGCCTTCGTACGTCGAGTGCTGCGATCGAGGTGTGGAGCACCGACCGGCCAGTGACGATGCCATTCGTAACACGATGCCAGCGGCAAGGCTGGGGGTTAATGTCTTGGATGTAGGGCCTAGTAACTAGTAGGGCTTCCAGTCACATCCAAGGCACAGGGCCTTCCAGGCACAGGGCCTTCTTGGTTGTCTTGGGCTTTGTGAAAGGAAGGTGGGATAGGTGTTTGAGATTTGAGACTTCAATCGCTTGGCGTCTTTTTTCTGTTTTGGTTTTCAGACCGCTGCTCACAGCATTTAGCTCAAAGGAAATTAATGATACTGATAATTGTCTGACTGAAAAAAGCTTTTGTTGATACTCTCTGAATGCTGTTCTGTTTGCCCCACTATAGGTAGCAGGTTTTCTAGCATGCAATCAGCACCTTTCGTCTTTCTTTGCGCCGCAAGGCCAGGGCCGCAGGGGGCATGTTTTCTTCCGGTGGCATCCAACACAAAAAGGGTATGATTTGGTATCGTGGTTGGTCTCGTTGTGGATCCAGTTTTTGCCCAGACTCCTAATCTTTATGTTTGGCTAACGTGCCATGCCGCAAGCAGAAAGGCGAGCGCTCAAATACCACGTATAATCACGTATACACACACTATATAGGTCGCTGTTCCATGGAACAAATACTTTATAATACTTCTAAGCTGGTGGGCTGCCATCTTCAAGCTGGTGAACTGCTAGGTGAGCTGGACCATGGGGATTGAAGATCGAACAAAACGAACGACGCGTTTGGTGCCATTGACTTATGAACGTCACGTATCTTCAACGCAACAAGAACTCGCCCTGCTGCCACTCGTTCTCCATGGTTAAGCAGCTTCAAACACATGAAAACACCGGATCTTCCCAACTCATCCTGTTGCAGAACCCTACGTTCGTCCAGTCTGACCCAGTAAAACCAGGTCTTTTGCTTGCATTTATGTGCTTTTGTATGACCAACTCTAGCATGTCATGAGGTCAAACGAGGTCACTGTAGGGGAAGACTCTCGACTCCTCTCGACTCCGACCGCTTCTCTCACGCGCCTGCCGCTGGAGGCTGGGAACAGTCTCAGCATAGTGCTGATGGGCCTCACATCGGGCCGTGTCGACGGCTCGAAGCGTTCGCCCAGATTTGAGAGTATCCACTTGTCAATGAAAATCGACCCATGTGTGCGTCTGGTCCATGCGAAGGCAAGGGTTTAGATATCCATTCCAAAGATCAGTTCGGCAATTGTCAATGTGGTGACCCTAAGCCTTCCATCCCTCTTCCTTAAGCCTAGGAACCAGGTTCCTGGTTCCTGGCCGTCTTTGCATTTGTTTGGGACGGCCAGAACGGAATGGAACTCTCGATCGGCAGGAATTTTCACTCCTTCCATCTATATAATAAGCAGATGATGATGTAGAGGATTGTCCAATTCAATTGAAGGGATTTATTAATCAAGAGTCTACATTATACCCAGCTTAAACTGGAACAGTCGAATCTGCTCTTTCATTCGGAGTCCGCCTGCAAGTAGGGTGCCGCGGCGGTGCGAGCCGCCTCACCACGTCGAGTCCGCGGGAAACCGCTTTAAAAGCAACGCGCCGTGATGAAAAACGCGTGACCAGTGATGAAAAATGCCGGAACACGCAGGTAAGGCAAGAGGAAGAGCAACAAGAGTCTTCCACAAACTAGAAAGAAACCATCTGTATCATGTGTACTACCATCTGTATACAGGTTGTTCCATTGTTCCCCACATCTGTATGTTCTCCACATCTGATCTGCATCCTGCTCCGTTCGTGCCTGCTCCGTCCGTTCTTTCGACTCTTTGTCTTCTCCCTCCCTCCATCCCTCCATACATCTCTTCCCTCCGCTTTTGCCTTACAAAACACAAAGAGCTTCGCATGTTTCGGTCATCCGGTCTAACGAATTCCACCAGCAACGGCGGAGCATCTACCTGACCGTCCTCGAGTGCACCGCGACCCGGTGCAAGGTCCGTTTCAAGCTGCAAGTTAGTGAGGTGAATATGGTGAATCCTCCAGGGAATCCTTCGAGTTCAAAGAGTTCCATGCTCCAAATTGATGGGGGGAGTACGATCAATAAAATCTCCCAAACAAACATTGCACCCAAGAGTCCCAGTGTGTCCCCAGTGAGGCTCATTCCAGGAATCATTTTTCAGGTACTTCTTCTCTGTTCATCACCGAAGGAAGAATGACCCCGCACAGAACGAAGACATGCCCACAGGGTCGACCCGAATGCACGACGCCCTTACTTATCCCACTCGCCTCGGCTGCACGGAAGCGCCAAGCAATGGGGGTGTGGCTTTGTTGCTGCGCCGTGGCCAATCTGGCGCAAAACTCAACGAGTTGACCCGCCAGTCAACATTCATTTTGATACTTTTTTCAATGGGTCGACCCTCGCACCTGAAACATATTCGCGAGTCCAGGATTCATCATCCTGGTTATTGAAGACATGCTTGGATAATAGCAACGGCTGGAATTCATTATCTGAGACATGGGTCTGTTTGAACGTCACGGAATGCGCAGTGACTCTTCAGATTCAGGATGCATCGATAGTTTCCCGCCAGGCGGTTCACGTATCCTCGTGAGAAGCACCAAATATACATGACGAGATGTTGCCCACTCTCTCAATAAATCCACAACGCTTGCACGGCAAAACTACCCCTAGGCCGATCTGCTTCCTTGTCTTTCGCGGAGCCTTGTGATGGTCCGTGGACATTAGAAAGACAAAAAACACCACGCACAACTTGCTTGGCCGCCATTTAAACCGAGGTATCGAGTCGTGAAAAAGCGTCGATCGAACGCGCCGGTCGACACAGGTCGAAACTACATATAACATCTAATAACTACCGTACCAGTCACAAGCGGCCTCCTAAGTGTTATTCCTATGAACCATGATACTCTATGGTACCCTTTCTTACGTTTCACTATGTTTCACTTGGTCATTCTCTGAATCCCAATGACCATTAACGTCCTCGCAAGGTCAAAACCCACGTAAACTACAACTCGATTCAATTGGGTCCCATCGAATATCCTCGAAGACCGCCTGAAGTCGTTGCGCTTCATGAAGTTCAGGGCCTGCAGCTGGTGGTTTAGGTTTCTGCACATGTCCGTCTGTGGCGCCACAAAAGGCATGAGACTGCTGACCTTAAACATACAGGCCAATGATGAAGAACGTATGTGTGATTCTGTGTGTGTGTGACTGTGTATGATTCTGGTCGATGTCCCTTCTCCGAACCCAGGTGGTCGTTGTCTCGGAAGTCAGTCTCTCTATGTAGCTGGCAGAGGGGGGCAAAGGTCGGTAGAGGTGTCCTTAGAGGTCTGAAGATCGATGTCCTTCATGCGCTCAGCTCGATCTGTCCATGTTTGTTTTGACTCTGCAGGGTCGAACAAATGATTCAATGGTTCCATGTGCGTGGCGTATGGTTGTTCTATGTTTTTCTGCGTATGTATGTTTTTTTCTTTTTTCAGGAGATTGGATGATTGCTCGAAGGACCTAAAGATGAGATCTGTTCAAAGGAATTACAAGCGGCGGACGACCAATGAATTTGTCAGGTTCTTTTTGGCCAAGCCCCCAAAAAAACGCATCAAAAAACACCCGGTGTTCCTGCCAAAATGGCTCGCCCAAGTGGCTCAATTGACTCAATGGCGGCGTAGCGACACTTGGAACATTCAGTTCACCCAACCCTAAACCAGTCGAAATACCCCAAGTTGGGTCAAGGAACTTCTGAGATCAGCAGTCACCCATGAGTTGCCTCGCCTTACCTTCAGCGTCTTCTGATATCATCGTTGGCCGGAGTCGGGTTTGGTATGCCGGTGTAGCGGGTTTCGGTAAACCATGCATAAAGCGGGAAACCTATGGACATGTATCAACTATATGGCCTTGTCTTCCAACCCAAATGACCAGCAACTGGGGGAAGTGCTAATGATCAACTCCAATCATTCTTCTTTTGACGGAATTCCCACCCTCTGAGAAGGGGGTCGTGGATGGGGGTCGTCGAGCCTCGTTGGCCTGCCACATGGCCGCCATCCACGTGCGGTTGCGGCCAGTCTTCAAGGCCTGCACGCATCTTCAAGGTGTTGCGCCAGGCAACGGTGGGCGCACCATTTGAAGATGACCCCCAAAAAGGATTTGGATTTTGGGCGACCATGGGCTTAGGACACACCACTAGACCAAGCCAAAGGACACCTTCTTGAACCAAATGTTGTGCGCCTGTAGGTCCTTACTTTTGATAGCTAATTGATCCACGAACATGTGATTTTCTTGCATGATGCATGATCCTTTGAAGTGTTTTTGGCTTTGTCCGCTCAAAGGCTCTTTGAGAATAGTGAGGATGCAGATGCTCCCTTCATCCAAGAAACAGGGAGGTGGATGGCATGCCCCTCGGCAAAGGATGCGTTTTGCAGAAAGGTTGTCTTTCATCAAAGCATTGACTGTTAAAGGGCAATCTTCAGTTTCCTTGGCCTGAAGACTTTGTAATTGCGGAAGACTGGCCATTTCACAGCCACGATCAACACCCCAACACTTCCTTGTATCCTGCTCCAGAATCAAAAGTCGAAGCTTGGAGATCGGTTTTTGATGGTTTTTGGAAGGGTCCGGATTCAGAAAAACGTTTACCAATGGTTTACTGCTATAACATGGTGTAGCCAAATAACCAACCTGATACTTCAAAGGAAAGTCCACGTCATTTGACCCGACATCGGACTCCCATCACCATATCAATATCCATCAATCATCTCTCTCTAATCTCACCACCGAGCATCGACCACCAACCAGGACCATCCCTTCCACCATCGTCCGAGCCCCAGATCACCATCCCCTCCTCCGTCCCCACCCTTCCTTCGGACCGCCAGTCGAAACCCAGTCGATGAGGTGACCAGAGTCTAGAAAAGTCCTTCACTTGGCAAGGTGCCAACTATGTCTGTGGGTCGCACCAGGATACTTTCGTTGACCCGAAGGGCCCGAAGGGTCTCACAATCATGGACTGGTCGAGCTCCAGGTGGGTCCATCCTCCAAATCAGTCCAATTCCCAGACACGACTCATGGGACTGCCATAGGACTGCCGAGAAACGGCCAGGGGTGGTTGACTGGGGGTCTTGCTGGGGCGGCAGTCCTATGGCAGTCCGGGTCGTGTCTGGGATTGTCCATGATCCCTCCATCGAACTGCACCGACATCGAACGCTTCGACCTGACCTTATATAGTGGACCGATCGACTTCACCCGGAACGACCACCGCGCCTCGATGCTTCTCTCGGCCTCGCGCTGCGCCTGCACCGCCGCATCCTCCGCCTCCTCCGCCGCGTCCCGCGCGCGGCCAGCTGCGGCCAGCGGGTCGGCGGCCTGGGTGCTAGCAGGTGCTAGCAGCGAAAAGTCTCTGGGGCAAATTGGAAGGAAATGGAAATTGGATGGAAAAGGTTGAAACCTGGAGAAAGCAATTTTTGAATCGACAAAAACTGCTAGAAACATCTTTTGGATTCTTTTGGTGTGAATATCACAGTGTGGCAAACCAGATCCTCCACAAAGCACCAACACTTTCAGTTTCAAACACCCTAATGACCTCCTAACTCGCAAGCAAAACAAAACGAACCCAAGACTTCAACACGCCCTTTCGAGTCGTTGCTGCAACTGCCGAGCTCATAGTACAGCGAGGTATGGATCTCCCATCCCTAAGAATATAAGTGATGGACCTTTGGTTAGAGGCACCTTTTGGGTACGGTCAGGAAAGAGGTCCGCCCCCGGAACCTCTTTCCATTCTGAACCAACCAGGGAATTGAATTAAACGGATCCAAACCGTAGATTTGGTCCAGTCCTCATACATATAGCTAAGGGTCAAAACCAGGATACTTGGTTTAGTCAAGCTACATGGTGAACCAGGGCTCCAGGTCTTGACCCATCCCCACTAGCGCCATAGAAAAAGAATCCAAAGGATTACTGTCATAAGGTCTTCGTCCAGCCCGCCCAACGTCCAAGACACGTGGGCCTCCTTGGCCACATCCGAGTCCCAAAGATCCTTCACGTCCTCATGCACTGAAGTGTGTTTGCAGGTGGGTAGCTAGATCGTAAAAAATGAAGGTGCACTAAAATATCTACGCCAACAACAACAACAAGGTACAAACAAAAGGCTGCAGCCCCGTCAACACACATCTTCTTACTTGGTCTCTACCCCGTCCTAGAAACAACAACTGCAGACCCGCGGTTGTTTTTGACCCCCAGCCCTCCAAAACGACAAGCCAGTACTGGTGCTAGCAGTACTAGTATTAGTATTGGTATGGGAGTAGTATAGTAGTATAGTAGTGGTGGTAGTACTAGTAGTAGTAGTAGTAGTAGTAGTAGTCGTAGTCGTAGTAGTCGTCGTCGTCGTCGTCGTCGTCGTCATCCACCACCACAACAACAACAACAACCAACAACAACAACAACAATAACAACAAACCAACCAACAACAAACCAACCAACAACAAACCAACCAACAACAAACCAACCAACAACAACCAACAACAACCAACAACAACCAACAACAACCAACAAACAACCAACAAACAACCAACAAACCAACAACCAACAAACCAACAACCAACAAACAACGACAACAACAACAACAGACTCTGAGTTGACAGTGTTGTGCTTCATATAACCATGCACACGTCAAAAAGGAATTGATGACTTTTCATGATGTCTCTATAAATCCATTAACAGCTAAGCAGCAACCAGCCTGGTCTGGGAATGTTGTGAGGTCTGGTGATCTGACGTTGTCAATTCTTCAAAAGGCCCTTCAGCAGCACTCTATATAATCTAGTTCCATGCCAGTGATTGAAGGGCACATAAGGGAACCGAATCACAGGGAACCACGGAACAACCAAACCCCTTTTGGTCTCCAGATCCTCTCGAAAGCGTCCTCCGTGGCATTCTTCAGCTCTTTCACGGCTTTTCGGCCTTTCAAAGCCAGCTTCTTGGCCTGAGTTCAAGGGCTCTTCGACCATCAAACATGGACTGTCCCGCAGGTAAGGGGCCCTCCGCCAGTTCAACAGGGCTCCAGTTCACCACCCGATTGCGACACAAGGATAATTCGTCGTTGAGTCGTTGACACGGTTCATTCATGTTTCGACCTCGCCCGCTGTCGCCCCCTCCTAGCCTTGCCGTCGTCGGCGTCCGCTTCGTCCACCGGCTCGGCAGCGAGCGCCGTGGACGAAGCGTCGCGGCGCGCGTAGAGGAAGGCCGGATCCATGGCGTTGCCATCGCTGTCCAGCGCCTGGGAGCCGTCGGCCGGGCAGCAGGGTACCCAGCAAGATCGAATGCCTCAATTGTCAAGACACCTCCTTGACCTCCCAGGCCCCTCCAAAAAGCCGCTCGAAACGCCGCTCCGCGCTCTGGGGCCTCTTTCAGCTCGGAGGCTTTCAGGGGCAAACATTGCGCGGCCAAGGCAGCACCAAACGGAGGCTTGCACTCCTAGGGCCGGCTGAACCGATGAACACCGCCAGAACAACGCTCCCCAGCTCAAGGATGAACAAGTCTCCAGAATCGAAAATGACAAACATGAATCAATTGAAGGAACATGTAACATAAATAGATAAATAATATTATTATATATTCATGTCTATATGTATATATACATTTATATCATGTATTTTATATCCACAGAGTTCGGATGGATATACAACAGCCAAATACAATACAAAATCAAGACGATCATCTGAACATGTGTCAATTATCAATTGACCACCCCCAATGTCGTGGCTGCTCGATCATCGTACCTTGAACATTGGCCTCGACAGTTTCGGCGGTCAGCACACCTCCTATGTCCGCTTCAAACCGTTGGGGTCGATGAGGCACCACATCCAGAGTCACTGCGTCCGAGATCCAACCACAAGCACTACAGAAATCAGCCACGCAGCCAGAGGGGGTGCCCCACTGCCCCAATCCAGCATCTAGGCACCGTTCAACCGAAGCCTCCACCCACTGTGAGCCCACCCTTTAGGGTCAATGACCGACTGTGAACCCCTGCAAATATCTGTGGTTCGGGCCATACTGGCACTTGTCGAAAGAAATGCTTCGATGAATGAAAAGGATGTCTCAGGCTTAGCCAACAAGTGCAAGCACTGATATACATGTTGTTGCAGATCGATCTATGGGATATTAAATATCCTGAACTTCTGATACAAGGAATTATGGCGGATATGGCATGTAAGGGATTCATTTGTGAACATCAATGGGAGTGTTTGCCATTCACACGTCAAAGAGAGCAGAATGGCAGCAAGGCTAGCCAATGCCTCAGGTGGTGGGAATAGTCCGATGGCGAAGGTCCGGCTCCCACGGCCAAAAGACCGTAGGGTCGGGGAAGTAATTCAATACAACATATTACAACAAAGGGACCCTTCATCATCCAACAAATTTGCTCCACTCAACTTCATCATCCTCTGATTTGATAACTTTGAGTCTCCTAGGCTTCCAAAAACATGCTGAGTCCAGTGATCCACTTCGATTGCTGAGTGCGTGAAGGGGTCAAATCGTCCGGGCCTCGAGTTCCGGCCTGGATCGTCCGGGCCCTTCCATGGCCAGCTCTTCGGTCTGATCCTTCAACGGCCCAAGTGGCATAGAAGCAAAAGCGTGCAGAGTCCAAGAGCTCCTCCTTGGCCAGGAAGCCTAAAACCTGCGAGTCGGACCAGGTTTGACCAGGAAACCAGGGTTTCACACTGGCTACTACGAAACCAGGATTTTGAACCATGGTGTTGGGTCCTTAAGGGCTATGTTCAAAGGAATCAGGGCTTTTGATCAGGGTTTAGTCTACTGAGTACTGCTTACCTGTTATCGTGCCTGTCTGGGATCTGTGATGCTGGGAACACCATGGAAGACCTACGGACCGGAGGCACATCGTTTGGACAACCAGGTTGGTCATCACCGGAAAATCACCACGTTGGTCATCACTTTCCAATGGGTATCAGTCAGCTTTCTCTTGTGGCAATAGCAAACCATTCTTCCCAAGCAGATATGTCCCCAAAAGCCATGTCTACAAACGCTATGTCCCTAAATGGCTCCTCCTATTGTGCTCTACTAGTATGTACAATGCAAGGGCACCCACCTACCCACCAGCAGCCCTGCTCCACGCCTCCTTGGAGGGTCGACATTGGCTGCCGCAGAGCTCTGGGCTGTGGCCCTCTGCGGGTGCACACTTCATTCCTGGCGTTTCAGCGACTGGACGTTGGACGGCCATGGAAACTAGATAACAACAACTTGGATTTGCTCAACAAACCGGGAACACACATATACCTGGACCCTCCAAATACCCCTCCGAAACCATGTCCCCTATCAAAAACAGGTATACTTGTACCCATTCTCTGAGGTACTTATATAGAGACTGCACTCCGAAGAACTCTTAGGATCCAAGAGCACCTCTTGACCCACGGCTCTTGACCCGCTGATCGCGGTCGTCCGACCCTCGGTCGGCCGACGGGTTTCGCTGGAGAACGAACACCGACCGATTTCGCTCGCTGCATGGTGCGGTGGTGCGGATGCGGTGGTGCGGTGGTGCGGTGTGCGCTTTGCGGTCATGAGATTGGAGATGATTGTTCACGAATTGATTTGCTTATTGTGGAATGGGGATGAGCAACATGGTGCTTGCAGAAACTTATGGCCTGCCTGGGGTGCCGCTGCAGGATTTGGGAACATGTTTTGTTTGTTTAATAGCAGTGGTATCCAAGTATGTATCGCTGCGGCCTGCAGGTACTTCCTACTCCGTAAGTCCATTCTTTCAAGGTTGGTTGATAAGGATGGAATGGGTGGATGGATGTGAAATCTGTCTGGTTGCTGGAAACCTTGGATTTGCTTAAGAAACTGAAGACAAAAAAACTAACATCTTCCCCATGATTCACCCATAGGGAACATATATACGGACACAGTCACCCGGTCAACCCCAGGAAGCCATGAGTGGCCACGAGTAGCCCTCGACCTTCGTACGGATCCGTGCGCTCATCAGCGCGGCGGCGTGCAACGCCACAGCAATCGCAGGAGCAAAGCGGTCCTGACAGAAGATGCGACGCCAAGACTCGTGCGACACCCGGAGCGACGCCAAAAATGACAGCCGAACACTACTACAATCTACTACATATAGTATCAAGAAACAGTATGTAAGGGGGCTCCCTGTTCTCCGTGTTCTCTCTATTTAAAGCGAAGACTGATGCATGCAGAGATATGTTTGTTCATATAATTTAATAGTCATTACTTGCACCATGAATGCATGGACTAGTTTGCCGAAATACTTCACGTGATTTATGTGACTCCCTTTGATTGCACGCAGTTGCCAGTGACACGCCCCTAAAAACAATAAAACAATCAAGGTGGGTTAATTCATATAATATCTATCACGTAGCCTGAATTCTTCGTTGTGTTCAATGGTCTCATCATGTTCACCTTGGCTTAACCAACAGTGGATAAAATGGGGTTTAGTTGGAGCACTTGGATCCTTTCTCCACTTATCAAGTATACATGCATGGATATGGGAGCACCTCAAATTTAGAATCAACTGACCCGTCTACCGTGGAACCAGACCTTTTCGACCTTTGTCCCCTGGGTTACCCTCCGAGAACGTCACACGGAAATGAACAAGAATAAACGGAATGAAAAGGAATTAGTCCTCGTCTTCCCTCAGTTCAGCAGCTGGCAAACCATCCATGTTTAGGAGTCTAAATACCGCTTCAAACCCGTAATCTCAGGATGTCTCAGCGACGTGTTCTTCGTCTCACCACCCCCCAACGGGAAAAAAAACTCCCAACAATCGAGCGCTTGGCACGCGTACTGAGTAGTACGCACTGCCTGCGCCGACGGCCAGCTTAGCTGGTACTTCCTCCAGGGCCAGGAACCAGCAGCTCTACCAGGCTCCACCGGACGCCGTTCCTTCCATCGCCCCCACGCGGTGCCCACCTCGCGCCGCGCGGGCCAAGGAGAGCGAGAGCAGCGCGAGTGAAAGTGCCCGAGCTGCGATGGGCGCCATAGCGGAGCAGGTGGGACGGAGCAAAGATCGGCAGTTCGGTGTTTATATCCAGCAAGTGCAAACCATGAAGTCCATAGTGTAAGCTAACTAATTACTAAGTTCATATTGCAATATATCTTGCAATAACTAAATATGACTAGCATGTACGAACACCTCATTCTCTATCCAACATGAACTCATCACCAGAGTCGCCCGCGTGAAACACGCGGACAACGACCTTGGCCACCCGCGTTCGCTGCCACGCCGCTGCGGGCACCGAACGCGGGACGAACACGGCCACTTCGTTGGGCCGATAAAACGGCTGCGCGACGCCAGCTGTGTTGAAACCAGGTGGATCTTTAATTCAGATCGGTTCATTCTTTCCCCCATGTTCTAAACACAAAGGTCCAAATGAAACATGGATCTTCCTTCGTACTCGACTAAAGCATAACTTCATAAGACTGAGAAGAAAGCAGCAGCACGGTGGGTTTCCTTCCAGCTCGTACGAGCTCGCGGACGGAGCTCACAGCACGTGGTTCCTGAGGAGCTTAGTTTTGAGATCTAAGTCGTATATAAGCCCGGACCCAAAGATGCTGAAGCCTGGTCGAATCTGGGCAGGTCTGGGCACGTCCGCCGAGCTCTTTCTTCCTCTCAATGTGGAGTCTATTTTGGAGGAACCCTTACCACGATTCTCCGCGTACATATATAGTTTAATTACACGCGGTTTTATTCAAATAGCTGTTGTGAATCTGGAGCAAGTGAGTAACTGAGAAACCCCGCAAAAACATGCCCTTGAAAGACGGCCCAGAACCTTGAACTCAAAGATCGTTGATACTCTTAAACATGAACATGTGCAAGATGGTTCAAGCCACCATCAACTAATCTTGTGGCCACCCCCCATATGCCAAACTAACCTGCCAGCCAGCCACCTCCTCTTGTGGCACCTCCTCTTGTGGCACCGGGCATCTCCGGCATCCGAAAGTTCTGACCCACTGCGTCGTGCTCGTAGACCCGCCACAAGCCCACACCTCTCGGCATGAGCGGCTCGGCAGAAAGAAAGGGAACGGGACCGTTTTGGCTGGGAACGGGACGACGGATGAGCTTCTGGCGGCCTGTTCTCCGTGGGTGAGCAGGTTCGGTCGTGGTGTCCGTAGCCCAGTCAGGTGGGCCTTAGAGAAGGGATGGTTGTTCATACAGATCCTCCATTTATCTCGTGAGAGTTGATTGAGAATCAGACCAGAGGGTGTCGGTGGTAAACTGTTTCCCACACCAAGGTTGACTCTGACCATCCCTGATCATTGTCATCTAAACTCCCTGGAATATCCTGGAATAATCGTGGAAGTGGAATATGGCCCCTTGGATGACCATTTTCCTCTACAAACAGGTGGTTGTCCACTTCAATGATTAGTCCACTTAGCTAGATTCTGAAGCCTGAAAACCACCAGCCTTGATGCCTGACCATCCTTGGAACACCTGTACCAGCATCACCCGCGAGTCCTCCCAGTTCATGAAATGGACCCCAAATACTGGACACCTCAAACAAGGCGCTTTCTCCTCTACGTAAACCAGTGGTACTGACTCCCCCAAGTTCCCCAACAGGTTCCCAAAGAATCCTGTAAAAATGGACACCCCCAAAAAGGAGCTCTTCGCACCAGCACTTGCCTGGGGGTTCCACCACCAAACGACCTGCCCAAGTCACGTCGCCGACCTCGCCCGGGCGCCCGAACCACGGCAGGGTGCCCGCGAGCACCACCACTTGGCGCGCGCCACCAGTGTGGCGTCGTTGCCCAAAATGGCGCCACCCTGACGATTTTCGCAGCGTTGGAGAAGGAAAAGGGCTTGGAGAAGAAACAACTTCTGTTGTACCGTTGTACCCAGACATGACCGGACTGGCATATTTACCTACAGTGGGTTTCGGGGGTCACTGCAGGCAGAGCTGTGCCTGCGTTGTCAATCGTTTGTGCTCTTTTTCTTCGCATCAGACTCTGCGTGACGCTGCTCACGTGGTGTTTGTTGAATGCATGACACATGCCAACAATGTGCTCAACGTGAACTGAATGCTATGATTCTTGTAATTCTTCACAAGAAACCTAAAGAACCTGCTGTGTAAGTAAAGGTCCTGGATAAGGATGGATAAGGATTGCAGGATCAAGGCCTTGACCATGTCCGTATTGAAATAGGGAGGCTCCCCATACATATCATACATGGGGGAGTCTCTCCAATTATCTAGTCTATACCATATGTATGCATGATGCATGTCTTGCAAGAACCACTGAACCCAAAACCTGTCGCATCTTCTCAAAGCGAAGCTGAGAGGATTCGCAGAGCTCCACAGCACTTCACACCCTTTATGTCTACACCTCTTCGTTGCAGATTCCAGCCTTCCGCTGATTTCATCGCACGAACACCACCTGTAACATCCTGTAACCACTGCTCGCGCCACGTGTCATTGCAAAAGAAATGCTACATGTCATGAAGGCGCAGAATTCATCAACGACACGCCCTGGGTCTTCCGATGGAATTCCAAGAAATACTTAAAGACGACTCAAACATGTTCCGGTTGATTTTGCTGATTCTTGTTGACCCATAGATTGCCCGTCGCAGGTCGCCCGGCGCGCGCGCGAGGTCCCGGCGCCTCCCCCACGCCGATCATCTTCTCCGAACGCCTCTTTGGCGCCGAGGGAGGAAAGCACCGCTAGCGGTGCAGAAGGGTCGCTGGAGGTCTTAAGCACTGGAGCAGTCGAACGTTGAAAGCATTCTTAAGGCAAATTTGCCAAAATGATCTATGTTGGGGCCATGATAAGATTCTTCCTAAGAGATGGAGATTGAACACCAACAACTAGAAGGCCTGGTGGCTTTGACTACCCGTCCGCAAGGTTCTAACGGCCTTCTCATGCGGAGGGAAACCTCTGGTTTCCCCGGCTTCACCATGCATGGATCCGATCTTGCAGGACACAAGCATTTCTGATATCGAACTCTTTTCATACATCGGATGCTCGATCCAAAGCGACTAACTTACGTCGCCTGCTCGCTCTGGAGCAAGACGATGCTAGTAGTCTTATAGATTTAGTCTACTCTTCAGTGGATTCAGTGGACTAGTCTTATGTAGTCTTATGGACTAGTCTTATGTCCTTCCCATCTGACGACAGAGGTTTGGGCTTCCCGGCACCGAGACGACAGAGAGAGTCGCCAGAGAACCGACGGGGACCTTGAAACCGCGCACCTGGGGAGCAGGACCAAGGAGCGAACTGGGGCGATGGACGAGGCTTTCTGGATCCAATACCCAGACACTCCATGTATGCCATATATGCCTACATTGGGGTGGTTTGGGGGGTCAATGTAGGCATATATGGCATACACAGAGTGTCTGGGACAGCGTCCTTGTTCCTAGTAAAGCCAGGAGCGCCCTAGTTGCTAGTAGCGTCCGAACGCTCCTAGTTGTAATGCCCTTTCATGCTAGTAGTGATGCCCTGATTTTTCGTGTTTAAGTTTGGAACATATTTTGAGGCTTGGGCTATCTCAGGCTAATGGTAGGAGGGTCAATGAAATAGTCATGGTCGAGGTGGGGGGGTTGGTACAGTAAGTAGCAGGTGTGCATTGCATGGGACAAATTGTCTTCGTTGAAGGTCGCGGCCAACGAGCGTGCTGTTTGGCTGCTTTGAGACTTCCGGCACCCACGCCGCAGCCCCGCAGACCAGCAAGGAACAAATGTGAAGACCCACCGGCTTGACCCTGAATGGACCCCCCCAGGGTTTGATGAGCTTCTTCACTTGCCTAGCAAAGTTTACCAATGATTTGCACTAAATCTCACGTACAAAGCAGTGGTCATGCTGCGAGTCATGCTTGTGAATATGCCAAATGATCCATCCTGCTTGGAACTACTTCTGCAGAAGGAGTACATCACGCTTATCAATCAACGAATCAATCTATCAATGTTCTAATGACTCTTACTTCCTCAAAGCATGCTTTGCTTCGCCCATGCTTGACTTCCTCCACGCTTGCAGGACGGTGACAGAGCACCTGGGAATTTTCCATCGATCCTCTTCACCTCCTGGGCCCTCGCGCGTTGCAGCTGGCTCCATAGGACTCACAGGCATCCTGACACCGTCGAAGTCGGGGTGAACGGAGGGACGGTGAAGGGCGAACGACCGGTGTTTTCGCTTTTGGATGGAATGTCATGGGTCGCACCTTGTTACTAGTAGCTCTTTGTTCCTAGTAAGGCCAGGAGCGCCCTAGTTGCTAGTAGCGTCCTTGTTACGTTCGTAGCGATGCACCTTGTTACTAGTTCTTGTTACTAGTCCATATTTAAGGGGGTCTAGACTCATGAAGAATCATAAATTGATTTAGGCCGTAGGCCGCTGATCAATAAGACACACCCATGTTGATGGTAAAAATATGTCCAGATTATGTTCCATTGATCAATCGAGAAACCCCCCTGTTGGTGTCTCTGGATTCACACCCACAGTAATTCCTGCGACTCACAAGGATTGAAGGTGGCTGGATATTAAGGTTCTATCGTGGGGGTCAGCCACTCAGTAAGAAGTAAGTACGGTGACCTCTCAAGGGGTGTTTTGATGGCCTGTATTGGCGTTTGTGCTGCTTGCAAGACAGGCTCCAATGGCTGCATGAAAGGCCTGCAAATGCTGCATGACAGGCCTGTAGTTGTTGCATGACAGGCCTGCTGAAGTTATGGCCCTTAGCAAATTGTTAGTTTTGTTAACTCTAAGTGTAATATACAATGACAGAAATTACTAGCAACTTGTAACTCATAACTCTTCATAACTACGTAGTAGCAGGTTGTTGGCCATGTATTCTGTGCAAACATGTTGACAACCTATTCTTAAACCCCTGGCTCCTCGAAGTGTACTGTCAGTCTGGAAGCACCGCCAAAGAAAAGAAGGCAGGAAAACGTTCGAGAAGACCAGAAAATATTTGGAGCTGGGCTCTGCTTTTCCCTCTCGGAAGGTGCCCACAAGGAGGGCAAGCCTCACAACAGAAGGTCTCACAAGTCTAGTTGGTGATTGCGTTTCGGATAAACCACCTGCAAGTTAGTTATGAAGAATACAATACATAGAAGGTTGCAAGTCAACTTAACAAACATAAGTGTTTAGCAGTTTCAAAAGGGTAGTCTAAATTGTCCAAGCTTAAAATACAATACTTTGAAACACGTTGAGTTGTTTTAAGATAATATATGACTGTGGTCTATATGGTTTGTTTCAAAAGCTGCCGCCGATTTTTCCAAAACATTTCCTGCTCCCCCTGTGTGATCAAACACGTTCTTTTGACATCAAACATCATCTCAAACTGCTGATGTTGCTGCGCAATTTGCTCCCACACACTACACACCACATATCAATCTTATATATATATGGTTATATAGATATGTGTGTTTTCAATCTGCTGCTGTTGCCAACGGTCTGTGTTCAGAGATCGGGGGCTGCTCTGTGTTGCTGCTCTCATACCAAAAGCTGGTCTCTGCGGCCCATCCGACGCGTTTTTGTCGTGAAAACCAACACCAACAGACCACGCGCGGTGTCAGAAGACTGTGGCAATCAGTGCCAATAGCATTCAATGAACTACCCCAGATTGAAGAACACTAGTCACTAAGTCTTGCTAGTGAATGTGTGCAGGTGTGTATACCACGTTCATGCGTACACCATGTGTACCACACTTGTCATTGACCTGCTCAGAGCTTGAGCCAGCCGAATGCCACTTTCTGACATCATAATATCATACATCCTTGTCTTATCAAAATGCTGTTGCATAGCAACAGGCGCAATTACCAAAAATAGTACATGTGCTAGGTCAAACATATTTGGTTCACACACACATATATGATTTCAACATCTTTCAACACAATCACTGACTGTCAAATGAGAATGTTTGCCAGAGCAAAAAACAATTGTGGCGTTTACTTGCAATAGAACAAGTGTTCTAAGAAGCTTGTAAGTTAAATACGGCAGTTGTCGTAAGCAGTTCAAACATATTTGCAAAAGTTGTTGAGTAATTCAACAGCTTTAAAATACGATACCTATAAGTACCCTGACTTGCACTTACAGGCCATCACCTATAGTAATTACAAGACTAGGGTGGCCAAAGTCCTTGCACAGAGGCTTCGGATGTCATCATCACTACGCTGCATGTTCTTTCCTGCTTTGAAGCAGCGTGCTCACCACGCTGCTCTCTGTCTTCCAGACTGTCAAGCTCAATGTATGTCTCGTGTGCATGTCTCGCGTAGACAATGTTTGCCAACTTAAAAAATGAATTGCTTACTTCAACCTTGAACCCCCCCAAAACATGGCTGCAGCTTCTTCCAGCGGCTGTGCGCCATTTAGAACCCGCGCTTCGGATTGAAGAGGAGCTGCAGACTTGCGCGAGCCGCGAGCCGCCACGCATATATATAGCTGTGGGTCAAAACCTGGACCCCTAATGACCGGTAGGTTGGCCTCTATCCTGTTCATGGACAGTGGTCAACCCCCCCGGTTTTGACCCACAGAGAGTCCTTGTCGCCAGAATCAACAGGAGTCTCAGTCCTGCCTGCCCCTCCCCACGAATCACGCGAAGAAAAGGTGCTCAGGTCTCCAGCTTTGTTCGTCGCAGTTGACTGCTTGGCTCTTCGTTCGTCAGGTCGATTCCGGCAGAGCTGCTGCTGCTTGGCATGGCGGTGATCTCATGTAGAATTACACCTTCCATCTCCAGGCATATTTCAAGCATCACAGCTGCACCTGCTACCTTGCTGTCTGGGTTCGTGTTGTAATAAGGCCGGGTAGTTGGACCCAGGAAAGGTGGTGTCGTGGTGTGCAAAGCACAAAAAAATATTCCAACCCCCAGATCCCTGGATGGTAGCACATCTCAAGGCTTGGGGGTTGAAATGTCATCAATCGTCAGGATATGTCAAGGCTTAGGCAGAGTTTTCCCATGCAGCTGCATCAAATGCAAACTATATAACTCACCTGGGCGAGCGATCAACCTACCCACGTCGCCAGCGATGAACCCACCTCGCAAAGCCAAAGGCCGCGCTCTTTACAAAGAGCCTGGCATGGAGTAGCACATTGACACGGGCTTGTTCAAGTGTCGTCGATCAGATGCACCCAGGGGTTTTGGGGACGTGGCTTGTGTAAATCAATACAACTGTCAGAGTATCATCCATGACATAGAGTCCTTGAATATCTTGCATGTCCTTTGTAGATATGCAGCAATGTGAGGGGGGGGGCACCATCGCGATTGGACCCCGCAGCATCAAAGTTTTGTCGCCTCTTGTAAAACCGCGTCTAAGCAGGCCCAGTGTGTTCGCAGTTGGCCTGCAAAAAAACAACCATCAGTGAACCGCGTTGTTCTTCCAAATCTCAATCAACCTGGCTAGCCGCAATTTAGCGGGCAACAAAACACGATAGAAACTTGCAATTAAAGCAACTTGCAGTTCTAAAAGACCTCTGTTTAGAGTTTTTAAACATGGGTTCCATGTGTTCACGCTCCGTTCCATCGTTGCCATCGTTCCAACCCATGCGGCGAATGGCCGACCTCGCCTGGATGGCCGCGAAGTCCCGTGCGGGGACGCCGTAGCAGGGCGCGATGACGATGCCCACCACGTTCTGAAGAGGGCGACCGAGGAGCATTCTGGACCATGAGATGACCATCTGACCATCTTCGAAACCGCCACATGGCTACATCAAACATCATCAAACATCATCAAACATACAGGTTCAAGCAAAGAAAAACACACACACACACACACAACTCTCACCCACAGCCTACCCCTGATGGTGTTTGCATCTTCAGTCTTCTTTTGACCCATAGGGTTCGCCCGACCGAGGGATTCGGTTGGGAGGTCAGTGAGGGTGTTGAGTGGCAGTGCCGCGGCGAGTGCCAGTGATCAATGTGGAGTTCGAGTTTGAAAGATAGGGAGAACAATATGTCGAGGTTCGGTGTTTGATGCTGAGTGGGTCGAATTGTTCGATCGTTGACTAGTCAAATGAGATTTCGGAGCCCCTCAAGCAGGCGAAGGACCATCCAGGTAGGGGGGAGGCAGTGAGCTATGAAGCTGGGGAACCTCTCTTCTCACCCCTGAGCTGTTTTGATCCCTGGAAAGTCAAGAGACGACTTGGACTGTCCGAGGTCCAACGATGAATGCCGACGAAAGGATCCGAACGACAGCGAACCTTCTCTCAGGCTTCCCAGAAGAAAAAGAAAGGTGAAGCGAGCCTTCCAGAAAACCGGATTTCAGAGGGCTGTCGACAGTCAAAAAATTGGTTCGGCAGGTGAGCTCCCACGTGTGGGGCCCGGTCTTTTGGTGAAGATCCCTACGCAGCGGTTCTTTGGAGGGAATCAAAAGCCACATCCGGTTTGTGTCATGTTGATGTGTGTGAATTTCACCTAACATACGGTAAACAAACTCGAAGTTTCGAACACCATCTTCGGTTCAGTCCTGGTGATTCCTGTTTCCTACCAAAAAATCAAAAAAGAACACCCGGCCGGCCTTCCTTTGTTTGTATACAAATCCAAGATGCCTATCACAACCGAACCTGTTCACAAACAAAGGGCTACCCACAGCAGTCGGCTAGCCGTCAGGTGAACAACACACCCGCCTTGTCGGCCAGTCCGGTCTGGACCGCTTCCAAGGAGACGCCGTACGACTCCAAGTCACAGTCGATCGGAATGGGCCTGGCGACCCGCGCGCGACCCGCAGCCGAGGAGGCGAGCTGCCGTTCAAGCAGGCGGAGGAGGTGACCCGCCCCAGCGTCGGAAGTGGAGGCGAAGGATTTCGTCGGAAGGACCAAGCTCGTCGACCTGATGTTCAACGCACCAGGTCACCAGGTCAGCCGAAGAAACATCAGCATCCGGCTCTTGATCTCGTGTCAAATAGTGTACTTCGACAGGCAGGGGCTTAGATTGAAGCTGCTTTGCTGAAGTGTGCAGTTGCACAGATCAATCGAATCCAAACGACAAACGACTTTCGAACTGGCCAGTTGCACCAGAAAGCAGTCTCTTCCAAACTCAACTCCTTCGTTTTTCCGCGATCAAATCGGCGCTTAGCGTGCTCAAAGCGTGCCAGAACTATTGCCCAAATCATGCACACCAAAAAGACATGCAAACAGCACTTCTGAGGGCTGCGGTATCTCTTTCTACAAGTGCGTGGAGGCCAGTCTGAGCGGTTAGCCTGCGACGTGACATTGTGTGTTCATTGTTTGTTTGCTCCGATGTTGTTTGCTCGAGCTTGCTATGTTTCAGAATTAAATTCATACAAATACCATATATTTAATCATATCTAAACTCTTGCAAGAGTGTTCTCTTGATTCAGAAACACAAATACTATACAGATCTATACAGTATATATCCAAACTCTTGCAAGCTGGTTCTGGATCCGTTCCTTCACCCGCACCGCCAGATTTTTCGCATCGATCCCCGAACGCGCCTGCCGCCCGCATGCACAATGGCGTCGGCACAGGCGGCACCTCGAAATGGAAACAGGTGGCAAAAGTGGGATGAGATCCAATCCAGCAGCTCGCAACGAGCGGGAACATATTTCAATGGGGAGACATGGAGCGCTAATTAAATATTTCATGCATCTCCTAGGCTCCCCGTTCAACGGGAATAATGGATACCCCTTGCTCCGAATCGCTCCCTCTGGAGCAAGCTATAGACAAGGGCTCAGTCCTTAGTTCAAGGAGATTCTTGGTTCTGTTTGGACCCATTTGTACTCCAGAGTGTGGTCATTAACTGTACCTTGCTTGCGGATAAGATCCAGGACTAAAACATCTGGGGCGGACTCATGTTGCTTTCAGGGAAAAAGATCTTTGGGCGTCTTTGAGGGGTGCAAGACCCAACTGAGCGATGTTCTTCGGGTTCTGTGGAAATTCAGAGGCTAGGGAAAAAGAGTGAGCTGATGACGTTGGTTGGAGGCGGTTTATGCCAGGGGTCCTTGCAGTGGTTTTCACTCAGATGTTTCTGTGTCTTTTGGTCCTGAGGTGATATTAATAGCCGAACATAGCCGAACCATAGTTGGGTGGTCGCCCCTGTGACTCGATGTGTGCCGTCGGTGGTCACAGTCACAGTCTTGTTTTGGCTACCGCACTTGGTCCGACAAACACCCCAAACGAGAAAACACCGACCTCATGGAGGTCCGACCAAGCGAAAGTGCGCCACGAGGTGAAAAACGAAAGAACAGAGGGGGTCGATGCCAAAAACCCGATGCCAAACACCTGTTGCATAAGAAACTCATCTTCCAATGGTACCATCATCAATGGTGTAACACGGTACACATATATGTTTTTTTCTATATCGCCTTTTGGCAAGTGCCTTATGTATCATATGAGCCTTGCGAGGTCAATAAAACTAACCCACTGGATGCTTCCCCACCAACGGTTGGCTTGGCGGTCACCGTCCCGGACCTCCAGGAGCCAACTGTGTTCCAGGTGACCGAATATTCGAAAATCATCTAGGACCTATCCTACAATTATATACCCTAAACCTCCAACCATCTCCTCAGAAGGTGCTTAGACCCCAAAAATCCACCCTAACCACCGAACCTCACGGAGGTCGTCGGAGCCTAAATGGGAGAGTTCAGCAAAACCACCTCCAGCGCCCCAGCCCCCGCGAACATCTCTCTGCGGCTCCCGCAGGTGAAGGCCGGCACCAAGACGTGGTGTGTGGGCTCGGAGACGCCCAGCGCCTCGCTGGTCGTCTCGTTTCTTCGGGCACCGGTCGTGGAGTCTTGGACGGACCGAAGGACTTGACCATTCTGTCGTCTTTGACGGACCAAGGGGATATGTTGTTTCGGTGCCTGCCAGGTTGGATGACAGGGGTGTGGATGACCCATGGGCTGACCCATGTCAGATCTCCGATTGAAAGAAACAGATCAACTAACGCCCAATGCTTGGGGATCTGCCTGATCTATAACATCATATAGCAGAAGGTTCAACAGCTCCCGTTGGGAATCCTCCACAAGTAGTACAAGTAGTGGATGAACAAAAGCAGATCGATCTATATGGACAAACAAAGAAAAAAGAAGGTGCCACCTAAACCCACTGGTGAAAAGGAACATCAAACACCGACTTCGAGTCCAATTGTTGCCATCACCCTTCTCATCATGAGTCATGGACAGTTCAATCAAAGGCAAAGAACATAGAATAAAAAAAAAGCACTTTGACTTGACCTTCATCACCAGTCTGATCAAACTTCATCGTTTCCCAAAAAGGCACCGCTCCAAGTCACCTGAACTGAGTGACGACCAGGGTATTTGTTTGCCGGACAGCTTGGGATTGGAAGCAAAACACCACACAAAAACACGTGGGCAACATGCGCCATCAGATTTCTAACATTGTATCATGAGGGAATGGATAACAGTTATTATGAACAATAGGAACATGTATTGGAACATACTCTGGATCCATAATATGGAAGCTCAATCATTTACCACCATTTTGATGTAGGGCACCCCACAAAGCAAGGCCGCGATAAATGAAAAGGAACCTCTCTATCCTCTTTTACAACTTGCACGGCCTTCCGTGTTGTGGCCAACTTGTCTGGTCCAGCTTGCCCCAAAACCACCTGAGAAGCAACACCGACGAATTCATGTTCGTCAACAGCTTTTCGGCACCGAGCAGCTACGGAAAAAACTAGGTTGTCTCTGCCTCAATCTATAGACTCTTGATTGCAAAACTTCCCATCTTCCCCCCCATTTGGATTGCGAAACCTCCTCATAAAATAGAGATGTGACAAATCAAGAGTCTTGTACATTTATCATTTATCTTCCTTTCCCGCAGAATCTCATTCATCGTCGGGGAGCTTCGGTTCGTTGAACCCGCTTCGTCCTCGTCGTTCCTCGCCTTCATCGCTCCATAGAGAGCCGCGGTTCCGCTTTGCACTGCGCAGGCCTGAAGGACACGAGACGTTGCCCCGCACACCGGCGCGGACACCGGCGCGGACACCGGCAGCGGGCGAGGTATTGGAGGGTTGGTTTGGGGGTGGTTCTTGAATACCAGATCTGTTCATACGTAGTGTGGTGTTCCCAATCCCCAAAAAAGGTGTTGCAGGTTTCTTCACTTTTCCGTAGGAATCTGTGCCTCAAAGGCCATAGGAGTCGCACAGTTCCATGTCTGGAGTCGAAGTGTTTCTTCTCGATGGATCGAGAAGCTGCCGGAGCTGAGAATTGGTCCAGATTCAGACCATACAAATTTGTGGTGCCTCACATGCTCTTTCTGATAGCATGTTTATATATATATATATATATCCTGCGCACTTCCCAAGCATGCCTCATGCTTTTTTCCATGTCTGCGAGAGTCTGCTCCGGCAGCTTGGCAAATTTCACCAGCAAATTTTCCAACAACTTCATGTCAGAAGATTTGTCCTCAATGGCAGCCTTGAAATCTGTCACCTCATAGGCTTTCAAGAACTGGAAGAACTGATTGGCACCATCTCGAATGAAATGGCCATGCTCCACGCCGCAGGAGAAGTAGTAAATGTCCTTCTCATCCGAAAACAGGATCCTGTACATCCTATTCACTTGAAGGATTCCATCCATCATGAAGCTACACACATGTGCGAAGAGGAAACGATACCACTCTTCCTCCGGTGGCTTCAAAGCGTATGCCAGCTCTTGAACACTTGACAAGGTCACCCACTTTTTGGCCTCATGCCTCAGCAACACGTAGCCTGCGTCGCCGGTGGTTCTTCGGAGATTCTTGGGTTTCAGCTTTCCGTGAGTGAGCTGTTGGCAAATCCAAATGGCCTCCTCTTCTGGAGTCCTCCGTCTCGCTTGCTTTTTTCGCTGAGTCTGCTTTTTCTCCTTTGGGGAAGATCCCCTCGCTTTGGCGGCTATAGCAGCTTTATCGGCTATGGCGGGTTTACCCTTCACAAACTTCAGGAAAGAGACAGGCTTCATGGCATTCTTTGGACTCTTGGAGGAGACTTTGCTCCCGCTTCTGGCACTGGCAGCCCGGCTCACGGAGGAACTGGAGGGCCTTTTCAGTGTTCCCATGGCTTGCGGCACGGACGATGGGGCCCAACCGTAAACGTCAAAGATGAAGTAGATAGAATTATCAAAATAGAGAGGCCAGCAAATCAGCAAATAGAATTACAGTACTCCAAACAAAAACAACTTTGCCAAAAACCACCTGGGGTTGTCTAGGGATCGAAAAACCACCGACCTGTCATTCAGTTCTCGTATACCCCCTCTTCGCGCTCGGGCTCACAGTGAAACCAGTCCCATGCAGCCCATCAAAGTGCCTTGGGTATGTGTCAGAAAACAGGTGGGAAAACGAACAAAAAAAAAAAACGTGGCACAAATAGAAAGGACAAGAACCTCCTAAGCTTGTATGGGTCTTGGTAAAAAGGCACAGAGTTGCATAGAGTTGCAATAGGTTCTGGGCACAACTGCGGCACGCACATGCAAGTACGGGCGTCGGTTTAGAATACCCATGGATACCTCACAAATGCAAATACCAGTGACCAGTGAAGCAAAGGCGGTCTCAATTGTAGTTTTTCCAGGCATTGTAGAATTCATTCCAAAACAAGCATCTATTGATATCTATTGTACAAATATAATATGTGTGTTCTCCAAGTCTACTTCTCTCTGATCAATTCACAGAAAACGTTCAGAGTCCTGGTTGGACTCTGCCTTGTCCGCTTGTCCCTCTTGTCCCTCATGCCCGCACGCATCGGAACGCATCGTGTGCTTGAGGTCCTCATCATCTGCCCCTGCAACCAGTGTCCCCAGTGAGTCAGCTCAACATGAGATTCCCAGTCAGCCAAGCTTCCCAGGAGATTTCGCCGAATCATTCAGCCTAGCACCCTTCAAAAGGGCCTCCACGGCACCATCAGGCCCGTCAGGTGAAATGTGAGGTATGCGGTTCTTGGCCGATGAGCATTACCATTCCTTAGGCATTCCCCATTGTGTCTCAACTCACTGATTTCGCCTGGCCGCCTGTCCCTCTCAGGCCGACAGCCTGTCAGATCATCCCTCGTGACGCGATCATCGGGCTGCACTGGGTCCATGTCCAGCAGTAACTCCCAGGAGTAACTCCATGCCAGCCGGATCGTAAGTTCAGTGCCAAGCTGGAGCGAACTCCAAAGTGAGGGAATACTGTAGAAGACTGCAAATTAAGTCTTTCTTTATTGATACCAAAAAGCACAGAGCCCCGAGCCGGTGGCAGAGCATGAACCTGCGGCGCGGCATTCCTGCGGGACCTGGCTCCCCTGGGCAGCCCGAGCAGCGGTGCAGCCGCAGACTTGAGCGAGGTGCTTTTCGAACTGCTTCACCTCGGTAGGCTTGAAGAGAGTTGAAGGGTTTTCACTGTCGGGACCAAAGGGTCAATGGGCCATGGGACCATTTCGGGGCGATCCGAACTGTCCACTTCGGAAAATCGAGTGCGGCGTCGCTCCGAAAAAATCTACGACTGGGTAGAAAAATAGGCTATTATCCATTGACTGGGTAGAAAAGCCACGCGTCACAGGTTTGGACAAAAAGAGGTGTTTGATGGGCGTTGGGGTGAAATGAGGTCTTCAAGGCGGACGACTTGGGGTTTGGAAGGATGAGGAAGGGATGCGGAAGGGACACGTGCTTCTGCGGGACTTGGGGTCCTTGGTGGCCTTTTCTGGAGTTCGCGACCCAATCTGGGTGGTCCTGGTCTGATAACAGGAAGACCTCCCAGGCTGGATGGTTCGGAACATAGACTCACCAGTCTGGTTTAGCCGGCGAGGGGATCGACCTCCCCGCCGCCTGGGCGCGCGGTCGCGGCCTCGCGGCAACGGCGACCAGGACCACCACGACGTAACGGTTCTGCCTTTCTGAGGTTGGGGTTTTTGCCGAAACAGTTCCAGTATCGGCTGACCGAAAGTGGAAACGCGGAGCGACGCGGAGATGCTTCTTCGACCGAAACTCCCGGGACTTGTTGCAGTTCTCATGTTTTGAACATCACAACTGAACTGTTTTGAACATCAAAACAACTGTTTCAGTTCAAAAGTCGGAGGCCCGCTCCGAACAGACCCGAACCCCGAACCCGTCCGAACCTCCCTCCCCCGCTCCGACCGTTCCTTTGGGGACCCCGGACGTAGGGCCCCTCCACACCTCAGATGGGTACCAACAGGTGAGGATGGTCGTCGTGGGCCGAGAGTGGATCCAGTGGATCCAGGAGGTCCCTTTTGGAACATCGGAAGACCGAACCGCAGGCGTGACCCGGCGGAAGGTTTGGAAGATAGACCAGTCTACCCATTGGTTATTCACGTCAATCAACCGCTGTGGATCGTCAAGCTCCATCGGTCTACCTGGTGGCGGTGAGACCCGTGCCGTGGTACACGTGTTCTGGAATGGTTGATGTTTCCTGCCCACAGGGTGGGTTTGGGGCATGTTTCAAGGCATGGCCATATCTAACTTCATCTAGAACATAAATCTATAATTGCACTACGTTTCTAGTGAAAAAAACTGCTAAATGATCATCGTAACGCCTGCTAACTCACTGAATGGGTTCATCGTTCAACACAGTGGAGGAAGCCCCGATCATTCAAAAACATAACCCAAAGCATCTCTTCACTCGAGGGGAACTATATTATATGTCCTGAACCAACCACTGAGCTCAAGCTGTAAAACAACAAATTGCTTGCACGAGGTCTTGGAAAACAATCAGACAGCTGCAAACCACCAACCAATGTCTAAAGCTCCAAAAAGATCCAAAAAGCCCTAGAATGAGTTGAACTGATATAGTCATTATCAACCTTTAACGATATATTCATAAAACGTCCAAAAATCTCGAAGTTGGATCCTTCCATACGTGGTCTTTGGAACCTGCCCCTTTTACTTGCGACTCGGTACGCCGTACGCCTTCACTCAGGAGATACGTCAAACACGTCCCGGTCTGCGCCATGCCGTGATGGACACCCCAAGTGTATGACCCGTCCCCCATCGCCCTCCTGAGCTCCAAAAAACCCACGTGTCGCGGTGGTTAGGTGACGGGGAGTGTCACTTCAAGACCCCCCAGCCACCGCGTGGGACGCCTCCAGCGCCTCTTTTTGAAAACGCTCCACGCGCCAAGGACGTCACGCTCCACGCGCCAAGGGGCAAACCCCCGGAATGGCAACGGTGGATCTTCTGCGTTTGGGGGGGGGATTGTGGCCGGCGCATGGCAGCCGCAATGGCGTTTGGAAGACTATGAAAACTGATCTAAACCGACATGATTTCTATTATATATCATCTATCGTCATATATATATATATACATATATTATCTTTCTTTAGAACCTTTATGCACGCGAGTGGCCAAACAATTGGCTGGAGAAGTGCAAAGGAACCAGTGGGACGGGACCTCAAAGACCTTAAAGATGTTTTCACATATTCACATGTACAGTAATTATTATGTGCCGAAATAGACCGGCCGATGTCACAAACAAGCGCCATGAGCTGCCAACTCTACGTGCCACGGCCGGCTGCCAGAGAGTCCAAGGACGTTCATCCACCAGCGTCAATGGATTGCCGTGGATTGGATATCCCGACTTTCATGCATCCGCACCCACCATCGGTTGATCAAACATGTGCAATTAGCTATTAGTAGCAAGAAGCTACTAGGCGCTACTAGGGGCTCCTGGCCGTACTACTAGGAGCAAGGAGCTACTAGTAGCAAGAAGCTGCTAATGTGTGCAGGGCCAGGACCGGTGCAACGTAGCGGCACGGACCGGTACAGAATCATCACCACCGGTAAGCGGAACCAGCGCCGTTCGTGGTCTGCTGGGTTATAGTGTCTCATCATACGGATTTTCCTACAAAAGCTACATCAACCCTGACTGCAGGGATAATGCATGATAATGCTGGACCTACCAGCAGGCTTCTCTATCTCTATAAATATTACACAATTTCTCTTTTGGGCAGCCTTTCAGGCTTGTCCAACCACCCAAAAATTGTCTCTGCAACCTTTGCTGGTCTTCCCTACACCGAGTGTCCACATCAAAACTCTTTCACTTTGACATCCCCGCCAGGTGCTCACCATCTGGTTGCCAAACTTTTACTTGCCAAACCAGCCGGTTTGGGCCAAGGAATGCCTTTCTGTCCAAAGAACCTCAGAGTCTCATCACAATGATCCACACTGTCGGTGGGATATCGGAGTGGATCAAACCCAAAGCGCCAACCTCGACTTGTCGAACCGATCCAACACCGATGACCCGATCCAAGGTACCAGTACATCAGTTCTATATTGGATGAATCACACGTATTTTTTCGAAGGGAAGGTCCTAAGGTGCCTGAACTTCGAAGTGTCTCGTTTCATCAGCTCAATCGTTTCAAACCCGAGTTACGGAAGGGACGCAGGCAGATGACGCACTAGCAGATGGGCGCCACCGGACGCACTGGCAGGCAGTGCACAAGAAGGTCTGAATTCTACGCCGCCACCGGACCGGTGGAAGAACGAGTCAACTCCGCACTCCCATGGCGTGGAGTTTTTGGGTTGCCAATCGTGAGAGACGAAAACCATCCCTGATGGTAACAAGTTATTGGGCAGCAGGGGTCCCTGACGTTGTATTGGAAAAATCAGAACCCCAACCACGAGGAGACAAATGGTCACCAACCTGAGCCTGGCCAAGGCCTGTATATATCAAAAAAGAAACTCGACAGGCAGTTGCAGCTGTCAAGTGTCAACAGGATCATTGTAGACTAGCCTTGTCAAGAAGCAGTTTGAGGGGGTTAGGGGATTCCAAAACATTCTGCTTCTCCGTGCACCATGAATTCAATGATTTTGTAAGTACGTTGATGTCCATCGTATTCCATCATGCTATATTATATCGAGTGATCATCTGAGATCGCAGCAAACTCCGTCACAAATTGAACAACATCAAGACCTTGGGCTCTTGAATCCTGAAATATTGACATATTCTGAGCATTTGGGGAAGTGTTGAGAATTGTTGAAACGCGTTGGGATCATGAATAACTGCGCATCTTGCCTGAGTTCTTCTTGGGCAGGGTCTGTCATCGGAGAACGTTGACGGAATCAAGAACCCCATGGTGTTCAAGAAAACGAATCGAGGAACCGGAACCCCATGCGAGGACCCCATGCTTAACCAGTACCTTAGCACATCAAGGCTCCAACCTTCAAAAGGATACGCCTACAGAGGTTGACCCAACTTTTATTTGGCTCCAACCTCCCAAGGTCCTAATTTTGTCAGGTTTCTTGATCTTTTCTCCCAGGGGCAAAAGAGTTTCCTTGGATCTGCAGGGTATGTACAACAGGATCAGAAGGAAGCAGTGATCGTGCCGTCATGCCAGCTACGTTGATTGTCGCCAGTCCGGGGCAAGAGTAGACAACAGACAGGTCGCTGAGGGAAGTAGCCAAGATTTAGATATTGGTATTGTCCGGCTGCCATGGCGCCTTGAGGAGTGAACAAGATGTCATGAAAAATGCTGCAACCAACCATCATGTATATAATTCTTTGCATATACATGCAGCATGCATGCACTACGCATATAGTTCTCCCTAGTTCTTTTTTGTCGTGGTCATGATGGAATCTCCACAAACAAACTGCTTAATCGCCGGGGATGCCAGGTACAACGCTTCGATGTGGATACCCAAAGATACTCGATACGCAAAGGCTGCGAGTCAAAGAAACTCAATTTGGGATCGTTGGATGATTGAAGATCATCCATGAGCAATCTAAGGCATCTATATAAGGTATTTGTTCAGGCATATTCAATGATCCAATAGTCTTTGGATGTCTTTGGTTTGCACCAGTTCTTGCCAAGCCAGGCAGCCAGGCAGCCAGAGCGAGATTTCGGTGTCGCCAGGAGCGCCACTCCAAGTTGTACCCAAGTCGATGAAACACCCTGGGACTCGACCCTGCCGGTATCACTGTTTTTTTCCCTGTGAGCAAACGCATGGAGTGTCGAACATCGTATGACTTCCCTAAACCAAACGAGAACCCACATAAAGGGGCTGGAAGATTATGGTCCTCTTACCTGGGCGCTATGTTGGGTTGAGAGTATCTTTTACATTTGATATCATATAATATACAATCATCCTGGAGTAATTATATAGATAGGATATGAACCAATCCAAAAATTGAGACCAGTGTCTGTTTGTTTTTTTGCATTGTGTCCATGTTCTATCGACTCCAGGTTGATATGATACTGCATACTACGAGTACATGATACATCCTCCCATGGTAGAATCTCCCTCTGACCATCGCCACAAAAAGCTTCATCTATTCGGTCGGTGCGACTGCCTTGAGATTCTGGACCCAAAGTGTATTGCTTCATCCAAGCTTTGCTTCACCTGACTTCAGTGAATGCCCTCCAAGAACCAGGCAAGATCCATTCAGGGCTGTGTTAAATGAATCAGCGGTGTGCCTGGATACTGATCATTCTAGTCACGGAACCTATCATTAGCGTATCCTAATATTATATATTTTATGATAGTCTGATTGAGCTTGGGTTGTGATTCGTATGGGAGAATCACCAAGTTCATCCAAGTTCAAATCCAACACTTGACAAATCATCCGGTGCTCACCACAGGACAAATCATCCGTTGCTTGGCTCCACCACAGGGTTACTGAAAGAGTGATATAGTCGGACTCTTCCACACACAAATTGTCTGATCCAAAGACTTTGCATCACAGGTCTTCGACCAACTTTGGAATTTGGGGACCGCAAATTGACAATCCCATGGGTGCGTTAAGGGATCATGCAGAGTAACCGAGTGGCACTTTAGCCAAACGGATGGTCCTGCTGGGTTTCCGCAAGAAAAAAACAAAAGTCCTAGTAACAAGAAGCTACTAGTAGCTATTTGCTACAGTAGTAGTGCACTGGTTACTAGTAGCGATGCACTTGCTACTAGTACCTTCAACTCATCCTCCAGGACTGAACATGATTGGCAGTTGAACCAAAAATGGGCCGAACACCACAGGCCACCGGGACGAGGTGTTCTCCAGTGGCCACCGGGACGGTCTCTTCAAGCCGTCGTTTTTGGTTCTTCCCACGACCCACATGGATCACAAAGGCAGACCGAGTGTGTTTGTTGTGTTGAGTACACAGGACTCGATTCCTACATCTCTATAACTATGTGGTGTTTGTACATGTTTGTATATATGTTTTCTA